TACCTCCCGTCCTCTCACCTGCCTTCTACTCTGGCTTCCATCCTCCTTCCCCTCTCTTACCCGCTTCTCCTCTCCAGTCTTTCCCTTCTCATCTTCTGAAACAGCTGTTAGACACATTCTGGACCATCAGTCTGTCTTCCACAGTTTTTAGCCTTTATCAGACTTTTTATCTTTGGGTTTTTTTTTTTTTTTTTTTGAGACAGAGTCTTACTCTGCTGTCCAGGCTGGAGTGCAGTGGTGCGATCCATAACTCACTGCAGCCTCAAACTCCAGGGAACAAAAGATTCTCCTGCCTCAGCCTCTCAAGTAGTGGGCATGTGTCACCATAGCCAACTTTTTATTTTTATTTTTTGTGGAAATGGAGTCTCGCTTTGTTGCCCATTCTGATCTCCAGCTCCTGGACTCAAGCAATCCTCCCGACTTTTTATCTTTGTCTTCCATTGGTACATTCTTGCTCAAATCTCCATACTTCATTTCAGTTTGATAATTTTTCCCTTGCTGTCCTCAGCTTAGAGTTTGTCTTATCCATTTAATTTTTTATTTAGTAGATTTTAAATGTATAATCTTTACCTATTTAGTGGTTAGCCTGTTTCAGGTTCATAATTTCTTTTTTGTAAATCAGAAGTTACTTCGTTTTATCATTTTGAGCAACTTAAATATGCATATTTAAAATTATTTATCAATTGGAGGTTGTAATGCTGGCTGGATATCCGATGATGTTAAGGAATTCATGTTAAATTGTTTTTGATATGGAATACTACTATGGTTGTGTTTTAGAAATTAAAAGTCCTTATTTTTTAGAGCAACGTATTGAAGCTATGTAGATGAAGAGATCTGTAAGAAACTTGGGTGGAGAAGGTGGAGGGTAGAGATGAAAGAAAATCTCTTTAGTTTCTAATTGTTGAAGCTTGCTGATGGCTATCTGGGGTTTTATTATATTCTTCTTTCTTGTGTTTAAATTTTTGTATAATAAAAAGTTTTTTGAAATCCTTTATCATATTATCCTATAAAATTAATGTCATCTGGAGTAAATTCATATTTCAGTTACTGCTTTTATTGGTAGCCTTTTCAGAAATTCTATTTCTTCACATATTTGAGATTCAGTTTGTAGGTTCATTTGGAGTGGAAAGTTCAATATTTCTATTGTCACCTACACCTGCACCCCAGTACGGGACCAGGTCTGATTTTGGCCTTCTGAGGCCTGTCTCCACAGTGGTCCTAGTGATATTGCAGAGCCAGGAACTGAGTAACTAGGTTCATTTGTCATCCAGGAGTGGGATATGTAGCTTCTGGGCTTTCTAGGTTTAAGCAAACTGAAAACCCTGTCCCTCAGTGGAGGTCTTCAGAAGTTTTTTATATCAGCTTCTTATTTTAGGGAGATCCCTAGGCTGCAGGTCGCCAGCCTGGCTTCAGGGCCTCGCTTGTGCAGAATGTGGTTTATTCTGACCCTGCATGATAAAGAGGGTTCCTGACTGCCTCTGCCTGCTCCAGACTTGGAGCCAGCAGGCCTGTGGCTTCAGCCCCACCCACTGCTTTGCATTTCTGTTTGGTATTGGACACTTTAATCTTGTTTTTGAACCTGTCTGTGTCTTTTTGGTCACCTGTTCTATAATTTATCTGCCAATGCTATGTGTTCGGAGTAGGGTAGAGGCATCAAAGTGTGAACTCACTGTGTTGTCTTGACTGGAGGAGGTCCTTGACCAAATCATGCAGATTCCCTCAATTCTCTATGCAAAGACTGTCATCTGCTGAGTACACGTTCATAATGGTGATATTTTACCTTTATATTAGAGACAACATTCTTAATTCCAAAATTTTTCCCTGAACACTGTCTCGGAAATCTCCTTAGGGAAAATAGCAACCCGCTAACCCTACAAGTGAGTCTGTCTTATGGTCTCCCCAGCACATCTCTCTGAAATTACTTATCTGCACACACATTTGCATCTCCCACTGGGATCTAAGCTTCATGATAGCAGAGATTCTGTCTCTGGCTTCCCTGTTGTGCCCTCAGCCCTTTTACAATTCTGTCTGTCACACAGAGGTGTCCTTCATGGTGTTCTGGTAAGTGACACACTCAGGTACTGAAGCCACAGTTGTGCTGCATGCTGCGTGGCCTCTCATGAGTGCTAGGAAGCCACTATGAGACTGTGGGGCAACTGTGTGGAGTGGCGGGTGCTGCCCAATGTGCTCTTCCATACGTCACAGCCAGGTCATTGAGTGTCTGCTCTGGGCCAGGCACTGACACTCAGGCATTTGTGTCATACTCAGTTTCTACAGCCATTTGTCGTGTCACCTCTTGTCCATTGTCAGTCATTGGGATTGCATTCTAAATCTCAGATGAGCAGAGCCGGTGGGCGGTGCTTTGTAGCAGATGAATTAGAGGCGGTGAGCTTGCCACCCTAGTGGCTTACTTGTGACGAAGCCAAGGTGTTGGGGATATGGTGCACATCGCGGAGTTTTCATTCAAGTGGGAGGCACAGCCTCATCCCTCTCCAAACAGTTCATTTCATTCTTAACTGCTGAATTGTGCTGCATTGGACATGAATAGAAAAGTAGGCCTTGATGTCCTCAACGTTTCTTCCTGTTTGTGTGAACAGTCTCTAGCCTAAGGAGGTGCTGATGGCTAGGCATCTTCGCCCAACACTTTAGTCCTGTGTCCCATTACTTGCATAGACATCCTGCTGGCACAGGCCCTGAAAGCTTCAGGATGAGCATTCTGGTAGCCTCGGCCCAGAGGAGGCATCACAGTGTCAGTGGGATGGTGGTGGACATGTGGATTCACCTCCTTGTCTCTGCTGCTTCACTTAACTGTAGAGAATGGCAGCTGAAGAGCCTTATGATGGTTTTGCCTTCAGATGTCATCTTCCTGCTTGGCTGGGACTGCTGGTCAAAAAATGGCAGGTCCAGAGCCCTCAGAGACTTTCCTTTACTGGCTGCTTAATTGCATCAGACGAGCTTCTCCTCTGACTGCACCAGGGATTGGTAACAGTTAAGTGCTGGACTGCTGAGAGGCCCAGCGCAGATTAGCCGTGCTTGCATTCCTGGGACACAGCTTCAGCAGCACACTTTGAAAAGCCCTGCGAGAAATTCCTGGCATTTAGTCCCACTGTTTGTATTTAGCTTTTCTGAAGTGTTGGCATTCCAGAGGCATTCCAGAAGCCTTCCTGGCATTTTTAGATCCTCTGCAGCTGCCTGGGGATCCAGGTTATTACTACTTCTCCCTTATTACAGGTAAGGGGAAAACAGACAAGACAGCATCTTGCTCAGGCTTCCTAGAGGCCACTCAGTAATAGAGCTGGTGTTAGAACTTAACTCTCAGGGAGGGGTTCAGCCAGCCACCCAAGCCCACTGGCCTGGTGTGGCCCTTTCACCTAGTCTTTCTCCTGGTACTTTGCACTCAGGAGCACTGGTGAGTGGTCAGCTCTTATTACAAACTATCTTGCTGGTTGTTCTGCAAGGTTCTATGTCAGTAGGAGTAGCACTGCCAGGGAGATGGGCTTTCAAAAACTTGGGTTCATGTCTTACCCCATATTTTTGAGTGATTCAAACCCATGTGCTGATACCATAGTGTGGCTTAAAAGGAAAAAGCTCAGGACTTGGAAGTCATATGAACTTAGGTTCACAGTCTACCACTGGCTAGCTTGTGCTCTTGGGGGTAGTGAGAATTAATTAAGTGCCATCAGGAGCTTAGCGGAGAACCTGAGCACACACAGCCCTAGCACAGGGGTAGACAGCAAGCAGATGGTGTTATTCCTCCATACAGTCACAAAAGGCAGTCCTGAGCTCCCAGGCCCCTGTGACTGTCTCCACCCTGACACTCAGTGTGGAGTTGTTCCACATTTGACCAGTGGAGGGTAGAAGCGGGCCCTGGGGCCTGGTCCTGGGAAGCCCCTGGAGACTTCGGGACGTGAGTATCCCAGTGATGGGACTTATATCCCTGCCCTGCCATGTGCTGGTGACCCTTTATGGAGGCCTGTTGAGACCCTGCCCACTTCTGTTGGGGTTTCCTTTAACCTTCTGTACAGCTATGCGTCCCTTCCAGCTTTACACATCATACCTGAGGAAGCTGGAGGTCAGGAACTTGTTCAAGGTCGCCTAGCTAGTTAAGGGTGGGCTGAGTTCAACCTGAGGTCTGCCAGCCTCAGGTTGCTTGCCCTGGTAAGCTGAGCCCTCAGCCTAACTGGACCTGGAGGGAGGGCCCTTGGCCCTATGCTCCAACAGGGACTCAGCCATCCCCATCAGGCGGGTGAGGGAGCAGCACCCCTCTAGCTGACTCTGTGCCTGTCTTCCTGCAGGCATGGATCCCTGCTCCTTCCAGCTCAGAGCGTGAGGCTCTATTTGTGTGAACAGTCTGTAGCCTAAGGAGGTGCTGATGGCTAGGCATCTTCGCCCAACACTTTAGTCCTGTGTCCCATTCCTCACATAGACATCCTGCTGGCACAGGCCCTGAAAGCTTCAGGATGAGCATTCTGGTAGCCTCCGCCCAGAGGAGGTGCTGGTTTCAAGCATAAGGACACCAAGGCCAACACATAGCTGTGTGGCTCATGGCCGCACACCCAGCGGCCAGACACACCTACATTGACCAAGGTTCAGACCCCAGCTACTCTCTGAATGGCTGTGAGCTTTCGGACAGCTACTTAGGCTCCCTGTTGTCATCTGGCTTCTCATCTGTAGTGGGGGATCATGATGATCCCACCTGCCCTTTAGAAGTATGGTAAGGATCAAAGGAAACAACTGTGGGAGCACTGTGAACAGGACTCCCATAATCAATAAATGTTATTGTCTGTCTGTGAAGCAGCTATAGTAATTACCCACCTTGAAGGATTGTTGTGAAAATTAAGCACAATATATGTGAATGATCTGGCGTTTCATAAGGTTTTCAGTTCATTATTGCTACTGTTCTCACTGTGAATGTGAGCAGAAATGTCCGTCGCCTTCTCCCTGCAGCACCATTCCAGCACCATCACTGCTGGCTAACGTGGGCTTTGTTCTCTTCCAAGCAGGCCAGGGAGCTGGAGAGCAGAGAGGCAGAGCTAAGACGCCGTGACACCTTCTACAAGGAGCAGCTGGGGCGTATTGAGAGGAAGGTAAGACTCCTGCTTGGCTGTATTCCTCGGGGCCAGGTCCTAAAGGCATCTGACCAGAACACATCACCATCATAGGGGGAGAGAGGAGTCCGCAGGCCCAGTGCCCATTCTCCCAAATGTCAGTCACTCCTTGGACATGCCCTCCTGCGTTCTGCAGCAGGCACCCAAATAGAGCCTTTCAACAAGTTGCATTCATGGAGATAATTGGTTTTTAATTGTCTCCCCACTGCCCCACCTTTTTTTTGTTGAATGTGGCTGGCTCTAGAGTAGTTCGATTTTAGAAAAAAATTTACTTTCACCACAGGGCGGTGCTGAGTCCCAGTATACCTTTTCCACTTTAGTTAAGCTGCATTTGGTAAAAATAATAATAACGTGATGTCTTGCTATACAAATACATTAAAGTTGTATTATTGATTTTCTCCTGGGAGTCGGGAAGATCAAAGTGCACTACGGCTGCACACTCGCTGCTTTTCTAAAGATAAGTCTTTGAAATGAATGAGATTTAAAAACATCATCATGCCTTTAAAAAAAAAAAAAAAACCCTACCACGACTCTTGAAAATTCATTTGGTAACTTGCTTATTTTTTGGTTTAATTTGTAGATCATGACAGATTTTTCAAAGAAATGGCTTAAAACGTGGGAGGGGATGGTTGGGAGGTTAAAAAAAAAATTGTTCCCCCTCATGCCTGAGACAGCATACCAAGCAACCTGAGCCATCAGCTTATTGCAGGCAAATCTTCGCAAATCATTTGTCACGGTTTGGAGCTTTGAAATTGACAGTTTGCTTGAGGGGCCTGATTTCCACAGGGGTTTTCTCCTGTGCCATGCCACAGTGGAGCCTGGCAGAAACGTGGGTTTCTGAATTTCCAGGCCATAGGGAAAAGAGGGAGGTTCTTCCATGCCCCATCAACACCTGCTTGTCCACCTTTGCCGGTGTTTAGGGGCTGGCCGGAGTTGACATGCCGTGAACACAGAGTGCTGATGGTGATATCCCACAGTCTGAGGAACGGCAGTGCACCTCTGAGCCACTTTCCGAGTGGCCCTTAACAAGCAAATCTTTCACAGAGCAGCCTCATGCACAGGTTTGACTGTAGCTTATAATGACAAAGATTGTGATTTGAGATCCCAGAAAAGGGTAAAAAAAAATTCCACCAGCCATAGCTCTCATTATCACAGTTTCCCATATGTTCATAGGCACAGGGGTTTTTTTTTGTTTGTGTTTTTGTTTTTTTATTTGTGCAATTCTTTGGTCTCCTTTGTGCTCCTCATGTTTCCCTCCCTGGGCTTGGCTGCTAGAGGCACGTGTCCATGTCTGTTTCGGGTGGAAGGGAAAGAGCCTCGCAGCATTTTTGCCTCTCTAAAATACGTTTTCCTCTTGTCATTCTCCTCTCTCATCTCTACCCTAGTTCTCTTCTTAGAAACCAAGTCTCTGCTTTGCTAAAGGAGAGGAAATTCTGGATGAGACTTCTTTCTCTCCATTAAATGAAGTCCAAACTCCTTACATATGCAGGTGTAGGCTTTTTAAAAATCGAGGTTTCCTAGATGATTGTGAAGAGTTATTAAATGCTTCCAGAAGGAGGTGCAAAAGCATGATCTCCTTTCTGACTCTTAAACACAGCATTTTGAGGAAAGCACCTCCAACATCTCAGGAAATGGAGATTGGTGCGGGAGATAGGAGGATTAAAGGGGAGCCAGGGGGAGAGGCAGAAAGGAGGCAGAAGAATGAGGCTTAATTGTATTAGTTTTGAAAAAGGTTTTCGATCTTCTCCGCGGATAATTTTATTCCTGTAATGGCTGGGAAGATGGAAAACACAGCATCTGACAATCTTTTTTTATTAGCTGTTGCTTTTACACGATTCCTCTTTCATTTGTTGAATACTCGCAGACCTTGACATTTCCAGCTTCTGTACACACGGCTCCAGGACTTTCCAATCATCACAGCCCTTTCCTTTTCCCCCCCATTTCCTTTAAGTTTAGAAATTGACAGTAAAAACCTGTTCGGGGGAAAGTTGGATAAGCTGCTGCATGATCCTTGACCACCCAAAACAGCTTAGAGTACAGTCCCGGGTGAGAGCAGGTTGAGATGGGGAGGCTGATGCCTGTGGCTGTTGGCCGAGTCGTAGTGTATCCAAGGGGCTGAGTGGAATCCTGCAGCCATCCACCTGTGGTAGCCGGTCAGCTTCCACCTTCTACCTGTTGAGACTGGCAGGTAAGGAAAGCCTGCACAAAATCCGGACTCATTTTCAAGGAGGGAGAGACTTCTGGACCTTTTTGTCTGCAGTATTTATTTCCTAGATGATTATTCTTAAGCATGGAAATCCCATTTTGTAGGGCTCCTGTGCTTTATAATCTTTCTGAGTAATTGTTCTTCACAGCCACACTGCAAGATCTAAGTAAGCAATATTGTTTCCATTTCCCTATAGAAAGCAGTGAGCTGTTGACACAGACAGGGGCCTTGTGAGGGTCTCATGGCACGTGAAGAAGCAGCCTGGACATTGAGTATGGTGTAACTGATGGCGTGTGGGCACCAGAGCCCATGAGCCTTGGCTCCCACACAGCAATTCAGTCAGTGTGCCTCCTTTCAGCTCGGTTTCTCCATCTGTAAAATGGAGATGCTAATGCTTTCTGCCGGTAGTTAATGGGAGGATTAAGGAAAGTATCGCCTGTAAAAGTGTTTGTGTGTGCTAGGCACCTGGCAAGTGCTGGCTCCTTCCCTGGTGCACAGCAGTAGTGGGGGCTCTGTTTCATGTCACAGTGCTTCAGGTTTGGATTAATGGATGAGCATGTGTGCATGCACACGTATATGCATGCTGAGATGGATTTTTATCATTAACGGTGGCCTGACCCCAACACCTGCTCTCTGGGATGGGCAAGCCTTCTCTCTGGGCTGCATCAGACTTTTCTCTGATGGTCTTGCAGTATCCAGCAGACTGGGGCCATTCACTCCCCAGGTGTTTCCGCACATCTGACAGTGTCATAGAACAAGGTCTTTGTCCGTGTCTGTGGGCATCTTTGCACGGGACCCCTATTAACTTCAATAGGGATGGCACCATGTTTGAGAGCTCAAACAAGAGCCCCAGAGCCGGCAAATGAGACATAGGGTTTTATTTGCAGAAAAGTTACATACAGGGACAGGCCAGTGGCAGTGGGATGGACAGGAGAACCGCAAGGCCCCATGGCTGGCTGAGCAAGCGAACCACTACTCCCAAAGAGCATGTAGTTTCCATAGCATTTTCACTTAGCACTCTCCCTAACAGCTTCTACCTGGCAACCTTCATTTAAACCCAGGGGTGGCCAATCTTTTGGCTTCCTTAGGCCACCCTGGAAGAATTGTCTTGGACCACATAAAATACACTAGCACTAATGATGGCTGATGAGCTTAAAAAAAAAAAACACAAAATCTCATAATGTTTTAAGAAAGTTTATGACTTTGTGTTGGGCCACGTTCAAAGCCTTCCTTGGCTGCATGCAACCTCTGGCCTGTGGGTTGGACAAGCTTGATTCAACCCAAAACAAAGGGCCTCAATGCCCTGTACAGCTGTGTTCCATAGATTTTCACTTCACAAGGGCCGGTGATTCAGATGTTCCTTATAGATAAGAAATGGATCTCCGGGTTGGCCATTCCCAGATTCCTTAGCTCAGAACTCCAAACACACATTTTTGGTACATCTGCCATACTGGCATATGGACCAGGAACATGAGACCCTCGACTGCCTGTGCTGGCTTGAGTCATGGCCGCTGAACCCCTTGCCATCTTAGCTGTGCTCCCACCGCACACCTGGCTCCAGAGCCTTTGCTCAGCTGCCACTTTGTAATTTTCTGCAGGAAGCAAAAGAACCAGGAGTGGGATTCACCCACACCGTGCCTGGATTCAGCTATTATGGGGCTAAGGGGAGACTTGTGCCTCTTCAGAACCAGCACACTTTATTGTCTTCCAGTAGAAACCTCGGTGCTGGGTGGCTCTGAAGGAGACCCTGAGAGCCCATGGAGTTGACCACTTGTGGCTGGCCAAGGCCTTGTCTTCTGCAGTCAACCATGGAGCTGAGTAGGGTGGTAGGGATGAGTAGGCTTTGGGGTCCAGCAGACCTCAGTTTACTTCTGCCTCAGTCATGTAAGCAGCCTTGTGACCCTGAGCATGTCATTACATTCTGTAGCCTCAGTTTCCTTATCTTTGAAATGAGGATTTAGGACTAACCTGCCAGCTGTTTTGGGGTGAGTGGTAGTTTGTGTAAAGCAACCATCAGAGTACCTGACCTCAGTATCCAGTCCTCTTTCATGTTATTTCTGTCCTCTTCCTCCTCTTTAATAAATGCCCAGCCTTCATTTACTCCACATCAATTTAAGTCTGCTAAATGCCAGGCACAGAGATGGCTCAGACAGCTGTGGCTCCTGCCTTATGATACCCATAGTCAGGTTTGGGAGGGAAGGGAGATGCCGAGGATTAGGATGCCAGATGGGAGGATGCCCATATGCAGGCTTCCTGTGACTAGAGAACCTCTCAGCTCTGTAAAATGCTTCATCTCACTTTATCCAAACTCAGCAGCTATGAAGTGGAGAAGGTCTTTTTCAGGGTTAGCGTCAAAAACCGAGCCAGGAAGAAAGGGAGAAATGTATTCTTCCTGGACTTTGTCTCCTTTCCCCAGGATTGAAGTCTTCCTCCCTGCACCTTTCAGATGCCTCCCTGCCCTGCCTCTGAGCAGTCAGCCCTTTCCCCCATTGTCTTCCCTGCTGCCAATCAAGTTTTCTTAAGAAAAGACCATCTTCTGATCCCGATAGCCCTGCAGTTTTCTCACTGACACTGCTCAATAGACGTGCCTATCCCAGGCACACTGGTCTCTGCCTTGTCCCTTGATGTGTAGGGAAACACAAGCTACACAAGGTGTTTGGTGGAGGAATTAAATATAGGATTTCCACTTCACAAGAAAAGGTGTGGTCAACAAACGTGAAAAAAGCTCATCCTTAGTACATATCAGGGAAATGCAAGTTATGACCACAACATG